TGAATGTCATGTCACCAAAGGTGTCCGCTCAAAGTCCACTCGTCTTGCTTCGTGATGGTGCATGTTTTGCCGCTTGGCAAACTTCATATTCACTTCGGATTTTGTCAAATAGGTCGAATGTTAATTTTGGCAAATGAAGCGAGCGAGTTCTGAATCGAAATTGATCTGTTGTCATGTGATGATGCTGGAGGTGGAGCTTCTTCAACTCTTCGGGATTTGACAATCGCTTTTGGATTCTGCCTAGTGCAAGCGGAAGCGTTGTTGGTTCTTCTGAGGATGGTGCGAAAGGATCTGGCTCAATGGTCGACCGGCCCTTCTTGTCGATGATCCTGTCTGCTGCCGATCCTGAACCTGCTTCTTCGTCCTTAACCGAATTGTCCGCGAAGGTGAAAATGGTCTTACCTGTCCACAGGTTAATCATTGGTTTGTTTGCATGGGATGTAAGTCTCCAATTGTCTTCTAGGATGTCTGGATCTCCACCTTCGGATGCATCAATGATTTCCGTAGTACGCTCTCGGCTGATATTATCAGGATTGATTGGACATTCCTTGCCTCCATTTGGTGTGAACAACGCCTTGCGAGGCGTAATGTGCACACGGATGAGCTGCTTGCTCTTCTTGTCAAGGATCCAACGGTCCTGCTTTTGAGACCCAATTATTTTAGGAGTTGCTAGGCCCTCCTTCGTCTCGGATGACTTGGATGCACAAACAGTTTCACTCTTGGACTCTTGGAGATATCCCCGGAGGGAAACCTGATGCTGTTGTCATCATCGTAGACGTAGTTGGTGAGGCCCTTGATGGCAATTTCTCCATGTGATTTCACTCTTGCAACTCCAGCGAGGTCGACGAGTGCATGTCCTGCACCGGATACTGGAACTGCTTGACGGTTCATGCCAAAGGCCTTGCATGTGATCTTGTCACATTGAGGTGTGTGCTCGATGGTCATGTAGAGGTTCCGCATCTGACTGATGCTGAGGAGGATCGGTACAGTTCCTTGCTCAAGGACGTCGATGTTGGCACTGCATGGAGGAGTTGTGTGATATCGGAGATGCAAGGTCCAATTTACCTTGGCTGTTTCTCCGTTTGCAAAAGTGAACTTGGTCTCGGCCGGGATGCACTGATAGGAGATGAGGTCCTTCATTTGTTCGATGGCCTGAGTAAAACGCTGGATTGCATGCCAGCTGCCCATGGATCTGGTACATCCATTGTCCAGAATCGCATAGGTCGGATTGTGCTGAGGGTTGATGACAGGCGCCATCAGCTTGCCAAAAGGCTGTGATCTGTTGCGACGGACACATTGTGTTCTGAAACTGCATCTGATTGGATCAGCTTCCCGTGGATGGCCTCCTTCTCATGATGCTCATATGCGTCATGGAATGCCATTAGCGCTTGTCCTGTGCTGGATGTCTCATTGGGATGAGTACCAGCCTTGTTCGTTCCATGTCCATGATTGATCCCAATCTTGGTCTGTCCAACCGGCATAGGCAGGCTCTTGGAGTTCAGCAACTGGCTGTGTGGCAGGATGGTCCTCCGACTTCTCTGCGATGGCTGCGAACGTCTTGGATTTTCCTTTGTCATGTCCGCCCTTTCCTTTGCCATTCTCATAGGATGGATAACCCTTCTTTCCATCATAGGGATATTGGAATTTGGATTTTCCTTTCTTTCCATTCTTTCCTTTGCCTTTTCCCCAATATGCCTAGAACCGCTTTTTCGAAAGGGTTTGAAGCCACCTCGTTGGTGACTGCCCTTTTTGTTTCCTGATTTTCCTTTTCCTTTCCTCTTTTTGAATCTGAAATTCCGCCCTGACACCTTTCTTGCTACGAACGCATCATTCTCCTCGAGGACCCAGAATGATTCTGCATCGTTGTTTGACATGAATCCTTCAAGTCCTTTTTCATCCTCAACCCAAAAGCCTTCTTCTCCTTCGTATTCACCTTGTTCGATGATGAAGAAGGTGTTGCTTCGGTTGCCTCCCTGAGGTCGGATGGATGGATCTTGAATGGATGTCCTGGTCGTGATGAAGAGTTCATGGTAATGCGTCTTCAGCATCTCATAAGAGTAGTTCTCTAGTGAAATGTTTCTCAATGACATAGCACTGGTCAGTCTTTCTCTCTGCTGATCTGACAATTCACACAATTCACTCTGAATGATGAAAAACTGCGCACTGAGATTATCTCTGAAGGGAAATGCGTCCCGCTGTCTGTCCTGCATTCCTGTGATATACTGTCTGAGGACTGTTGGGTCATCCTCATTGAGCAGGACTGGAGGCGGTACTCGAGTACCAGCTGCTTGCTGATGTCAAGCAATTGTTCCTGTACGGACTGTCGAAATGATGGGGACTGTGCCGTGAAAACGGGCATCAAGTCCATCCATGCTGCCTTCAAGCACACAAAGAAGGATTTCGAATTTTGATGTAAAAATGAGGAACTCTTGGCTCTGCCTTCTATGATTGAAGAAACTGAGGAGCCTGTACAGATACACGTTGGTCGCACCCTTCAAAAAGTACTTCTTCAGCGTGTTCTTGAAATAGTTGACTCCTTCATCAGGATCTTGCAAAAGGTTATTTTGGAGGACTGCCTTGTACATGTAAGCATCTCCTGTGAGTCTGCTTTTGAGGAGAGTTCCTCTCTTGGGTGCTGTGATTGTCACCCAGTCGTCCACGAGTTCTTCATACCTGAACCAGCTGACTTTTCCGTCGTACGATGGCGGCTGCTTGGCGGTCATCTATAAATTGAGTGTTTCCTCCGTATAGCCGGATGGTTTGGCCATACTTGAATAGGCCTCCATGAAGCTTTCTCCATCGGATGACATTTTCCCTTGGATCTCTGCGGAACACCCGCTCCGCTACCACAAATTGAGGCCCACTGCCGGGGTGCTATCCCAGAAGGGAACTGGTAGAGGTCGTTGATTTGGTCCCTGGATCTATTCCGGAGAGAGTCCAATATGCCAATATGGAGGATTGGAGGATGGATTGTCCCTGGTGACTTGTATTGACTGTTATACCTGTAAAGCGGTCTGCAAGCCTTTTATCAATGTACCATGCGTCGAGTGACTGTACAATTGAAATAGAAGGGCCTTGAGCCATCATGTAGGCGGAGTGTGTGAATAGGTCAATGTGCAACAAAAAGCAACACAGGGGGGGGTTTGGGGGGGTTAGGGGGGTTGGGGGGGGGGGGGGGGTTGGCTTTTCTTTTCTCCTTCTTGGAAAGTCCATGTATCATCCCAAAGGGGAACCAGGGGATCCCGCAAAAAAATCGGGCGCGGCCATCTCGGCTTCACTTCAACCACCGTCCGGCGCCAACATTGGACGGCCTCCCTTCCACGTTGTATCTGCAAAACCCCCTGTAAACCTCAGTGATGGCCCGCTGCTCCTACAGACCGACCCGCAGCACTCCAGCCGGGGCCCCCGACACAGCAGCCCCACCTCGGCATCTCAAGGAGCTTTTGTGGGGCCCGAGAAAGTGCCCGCCTTTGGCAAATGCCTCATGCCTGTAGGCTGCAGCTTTCTAAGGAATCATCAAACACCAACCAATGCCACAAAACCAATTGCGAGGCTCCTTTTGACTTTCCCTCGCCGATGACGGATTCTACCACGGACGCCTCACGCTCGAAGCATCACAGAAAAGCCTAGTAGAAACAACCAGAACAGGCGGATCGAAAGTGCTCGGGCCCTCACAGCTCCTGCGCCCCGGTGCCCTCATCTGGCCTGCCAGCTGCCAGCTGTTCGGGGGGTGGGGGGAGGGGGGCAGGCCCAACACACCTGCCAGTGCAAGACGGAAAGCCAAATGCCATCAAAAGAGCCACTGGTTGGGCTGGGTGTTGAACAGGGCAGTCTGGCAAAATCTGCAACTGTCCTATTCCACTCTTTTCTTGATTTCCTTTCTGGAACATGCTGAAAGGTGTCATTTAGCAGCATTTCAGCAACTCGGCTTTGATGAGCCCCCTGCACCCGCCACAGCTAAGTCTTCCTGAAGCCCGCACACGAGCGTGTTGTTGGGGTCCCGGCGTCAGACCAAAAGAAGATTGTCATTCACTTCTCGGCTTGGGTGGGGTGGTCGTGCATGTAGCAAACCAGTCCAACCCGAACAAGGTGGAACCACTCACGCAAAAAATGCACCCGCAAAACCTAGCATGCCACCCATACAGGAAAGGGCACCGCCACGCCCACCATCTCGCCACCCTCTGCCCCACCCAGACACAAACCACTTGGAGGCCAGCTTTCGGCCGATTTTGTCAGTCCGCCCCTATGTGAAAATTTACTCACGTCATGCCTTTCTCTTCCGCCGAATCCTTCCCAGGCATGCGTCCGTGGACTGGGCACCCGGCTGGCCGAGGTAGCGCATGGCTCATCCGGAAGCGATGCCAACACTCATAAAAACTTTGTACATACATATGTTTCCACCCTATGGACGTGGGAGCTCTAATTTGTTGGGGGGGGGGTTCAGCATGGATGAGAGGTGCTTGGCCGAACCTCCTATTTCCCACGTCACCAGCCCCGTCTAGCTTTGCAATGTACCCTGAAAGGGCTGGTCCTAAAGCCACCCTGGTGTTGTAGCACTCCCCTCCTCTTGGATAAAGAGGTGTCCACCAGCTGACTCATGATGTGTCCGTGTTGCGCATGTAGCACAGCTCTGCAGGTGAAAGGCTACATTGCCTGCAGTCGCCCCACACGAGTTCCTCAAATTGGCAGCTCAAAGGCCGATGCAAACCACCTGAGCCAAAAGATCAGAATGCACTGCCTCAACTTATGCACGGCTCTGGGACTCTGGGAGTTGATGGTCCTGCCCATGCCAAATAGCCCAAAGGCTTTCCTTTTTCTAATTAGAGTCCTTGTGGTTTGCGTTCCCGGTCAAAGGGCAGGAGAGCAGCGATGGGTAAAGAGGAATTCGGAAAGCGTAAACGGGAAACTGTTCTACATGTGATCAACCCAAGCCTCAGCTGGTGTGGCTGCCCCAAGTTGCGCTCTCGGCAGTGGAAAAAATGTTGTACTTGCCCTTTGTCCTTCGCCGTTTTCGTGGTAAATCTCGCCCTTTTTCCTCGGCATGGCCCCGCCGTTCGCGAGGCGAAAACCCATCCGACTGGAAGGCTCGGGTCGCTCTCAATGGATGTTGTACTGCTGCTGCAGCACCTCCCGCCGTTGCTCCTCGGTGTAGTGCGAGCCCTGCAGGTAGTTGATGCAAAGCCTCGAAGGTCCCCAATTTGTGTGTTGTTCTTTTTTGGTCAGCTTTTTTCCTTCTTTTCTTTTTTTTTTGGTGGGGGGGGGGGCAACTGCAAACCCTAAAAAGTGGGTGAAAAAGAACATCCAGTGCTATTCATCGCGTTGCTCCACTGCAAAAGGCCAAGAGCAAGTCCTCATTTCCCGCGCAGCATTTGGCTCAAAATGGCGGATGCAGAAAGTTTGGGGGCTTGCTGGAGGACAGCGGTCCAATGGGGCTCCGGACATCTGTTGGGACTTGGAGGAGGGCTCGGAAAGCTCTGACTCGGAAAGAAGATTCTAGGTCCGATTTCTCGTTGGCATCACAATCCGCAAAGCGGACCGTCGAAACAAGGCTAACCAAACGGGGGAGGTTCGTCTTTCGTGGAAGAGCTTCCGGAACCACTGTGGAAGAGCTTCCGGAGCCACTGGTTCCTGCTGGTTCCGCTCGGCAATGTCTTATCTCCGGGGTACAAGCTGCACTTACCCCCAACCCCCCCCCCGTTCCCCGCTCCCAACCCAACTGGCATGTTCAACGCACTCTGCAGCGGCCGGACGTCCCCTCCCCCCCGGCCGATTCAGCGCTCCATCCAGGCGACTCCTCCCCGGGCACCACGGGGCGCAGCGTCTGCACCAGGCACCGCTGCGGCGCCGAGGGGTCGCTGGCCACGAAGCCTCGGGGGATTCGGATCTCCGGCTCGGAGACTTGGGGTCGCAAGACTGAAACCAAAAGCTTGGAAGTCAGAACATGTCTTGGCGCTTCAACCTCCTCCAGGTTTCCCCAAGCCTCCGGTAGTCAATATTCAAGGGGAATCCTCCAAAACCTGGAAAAAAGGAGAGGGGGGGGCGCCGCTGCAAGGGGGCAAAGAATAGCATACACCATCTAGTTACCCTCCCACCAATTAATATGGAACCTGACAGGGGGTGCTGCAAGACCATGTTCCTGTTAAAATGACCCTCTGTCAGGTTCCATGTGAATTGGGGGGAGGGTATCTAGTTGGATATGGCTTCTGGGTGGGGTTGTCAACAAAGATGGCTCATTTTGGGACCCGGTGCCACCCTGTGCAGCCGTGGAAAGGGGAACCAAACTAGGCCCTGGTTCTGACAGACCTCTTTTTGGCCAAGTTCCTGTCAATCTGCCAGTTGTCCATTTAGGCGCTTGTTTTGCGTCCAGCGGTCTCTGCGGTCAGCTTGTTGAGCATGGCGCCCGTGTGGCTGGTTTTGAATGGGACCCTTTTGCACCTCTGCGTAAATGATGTCCACAAGCGAAGTCCCCACATTGAGTCGTGTGAGATATCCTAAGCGCTCCTGTGAAAACGCGGCTGACGACCCCTACTGCCCAGCAACTCCCCTCCACATAGCCCAAGCAGCAGTTTGCATCGCTAGCGTGGTTCATCGCTGAGGTGACCTGAATCTGGCCATGTGAAGATCTGGCTCCCATGCATTCTTGCGGACCCCCCCCCTCACTCGACGCCTCAAACAGCGTCATCTGCAGATACGCACACACAACGTCCTACTGCATCTAGCTTCACAGCAAGCTCCGTCTCATAAGTCACAGGGGTCTGTGTTTTTGAGGGCACCCTTTCATCTTGGATTAAGCGAAAACCACGGAAAAACTAGCATCAGTGGCCCCAAAACATCTGGGGTCGGACTGAGCGCGCGGCAGCGTAGATGGCCATGCCCCGCGCCAGCGGAGCTTCTGAAGAGTCCTCGATCGCGTGGGCCGCGAATAAAACCAGGGCTCTCAAAGCCTGCAAGTAGGGGACCCCAAGGAGAGACTTGTTTCGCGGCAAACTGGGGAGGGGGGGTTAAGAAACTCATATATTATGTTTATTATTGTTTCTGTTATGATGTTTGTTTCTATTATTACATGTACATGTATATAAACAATAAACATAACATGTATATGTATATTAACATATATAGATGTATACATATATGTATGTATGTGTATGTATATGATGTGTGTTTTCTCTTGGCCTCCCTTCAAACATCAACAAAGAAGAACTTCACCATTTTGAGACATCACCCCACTGAACAGAGCTCAACTCGACTTGGCCCGCCCCTGGTGAAGCCACCAGTCGGCCATTCAGGGACTGCGCACACTAATGATTCTGCTCCCCAAGCCACACTATGCCACACCGCTGGCCCCACTCAGCTCGAGCCCCACCGCCAAACAGGCAATCACCCAACATACCGCAACGCGTCAGGATGCCACGTTGAGCTGCTGGGTTGTCAATGTAGTGGTGAAATTTTCAGTGTCCCTAATTTCTTCTTTATGGCAACCCAAGAAGGGCCTCATTTATTAAACCAAAAAAGACACACCCATACGTTTGCGGGGCGAGCTATTTCGCCCCGCCCCGGCCTGCGAACTCGACCCGGACTCGGAGCTCGCCGCAAACGGAGCTAGGTCGTCAGAGGCCGCCACCACTGCCATGGCGTTCACACGCACCAGGCCTTGGGCTCAACAGGGTGCACTCTCCCAGCCAGTGTCATTTGGGGGCGCCTGAGTCCAGTTTCGGAGTCCTGGCATTCCACACAAATATGACCCCCCCCCCCAACCAACAGAAACTGTGGCTTTTCTCGTACTTCCAGCTAGAACAACCCCAAAGGCCCACCAAAGGGTAGAGCTGCTTCTCGTTTTCGCCGTGGACCGCTTGGAGGGCCGAAACCCCAAGGTCGGCCTAGGGGCCCATGAGCCGCCCCAGTGCCTCTGCCGACAACTCCTTCGCTGGCAGCGATTCCACGCCTTCGGAAAGCGAAAGGGCGGAAATTGCTGCCTCTGCTTGTGAGGAATGCAATCTTTGAGCCTGGCCTATTTTAGGACCAACCTCAAAATGTCACACAATGTCAAAACTGCAACTGGCTGAGGCACATCGCATCGTTCAAGCAGGGACTAGACTTCAAAGTCTTTGCTGTTCTCGCAGACGTTGCAGGCACCAGCAGCAGCAGCAGCAGCAGCAGCAGCAGCAACAACGCCGCCAGCATCGCCAGCATCACTGCGAACTACCATCATACTGTGGATGGACGAAATCCTGCACCACCTATGTAAAACCATCGCTGGTTGGTATTTACAGGGGAATTATCATTCCAGGGTTTCCTCGACGGTGCAGGATTTCGTCCATCCACAGTATGTCACGCCTCTTGGAATGAGCAGCACAAACACGGCCAGACTCCGTCGGAAATCTCATCTGCCTCCTCTGGTCGTTCTTTATTTAAAGGAAGTCCCTTCAAATGATCTGGTGTTTCCTTGCAGTGATACAATTCCCCGCGACGTTGCACCCTGCATTGCTTCAATCTTTAAAATGGAAGTATGCAGCGTGGGCTGTCCAAGATGTTGGCCCAATTTTGTCCGCCAGGATCTCCCACATGTCCCCGTTGCGAGACCACCGCACCTGGAGGAGAACAAAACCCCTTCGTGTTGGTCTAATAACGCGCGATTTCTAAAACAAGCAACGGGGAAATCCAAGTCCTGTAGAAGCACAACTGGACGCGACGAAGCTCTCCCGGCGCCTGGCGCGGAACACTCCAGCACCCGTTGCAGCAAAAGCGCCATGTCGGCGGTCTGGGACCGCACGGCGTCTCGGAAGAAGCGGTCCAGGGAGGCCTCCAAATTCCACTCAGAGAGGTTGTTTAAACGGTTGTTTAAACAATAGTGGTTGGGTTGTGCCCCGGTACACCCCTTAAAATCCTCTGCAAATCAAAAAATGGGGATGGGGATTTCTATCCGCCAACCACTTTCGATAATTTTCCGCATTGAAAACTAATTACGATTCTGACCAAATGAAGGCGTTTCCCCCAAAGTAAAGCAGGGGCGGCTCCAGCTTGGCGTTTTTTATGGCACCAGGCCAAAACAAGGGTTGCAACGCCAAAAATGTGGCCTCGACCTGGCCTGCTGATTGACTGGTGAGAAAGGTTTGAACTTCTTGGCCCCGACTAAAAGCATGGAGAACCCTGGCCAAAACCAAAAACAAAACAGGCCAAGTCAATAGGCAAATGTAAGCCCCACACACCCCCGTCCTTGTCTTCCGAATCGAAGACAGGAGAGGAGCTGCGAGAGGAGTGCTCGCCAGTGCATGAAGCACTTGAGTCCTCGTGAGCCAAGCACAAAAAAGCCGCCCGAACTGTGGAAGTCCGAACGTCCGGGGACCAAGCCAAACTCAGAGGGTCCAGTTGAGACACCAGCTGCCCGCTTCTGAGCAGAAAATTTGGCGAGGCGCGCTGTACGCCGGCCGGCGCATGGTCTCCCACCAGGGCGGTGCTGCATAGTCTGCCCATGCTGCCCATGCGTCGCTCCTCGGGAAAAAAAAGGATCCTACCATCCCCAGTACTCTTTTTGGGTTGTTTGCTTGGGAAAGCACAAGAACAGCATATACGTACTTGCCACTCTTGGGCGCGAAAAGCTGTTCAAGGGTAAGCAAAACTCTTGTGGAAAAGCCCGCGCAGAGCTTCTTCTTCTAGACTTCAACAACAGCTGCATGATTTTCAGCTGAAGAAAGATAAAAGCCAAGCAAGACTCAAGAGTTAAGATATGCAATCAACTTGAGAAGGATTATCACACACTTTGCCAACAACCGGGTTCCAGGATGTTATGCACATAATTGCAAGCACAATTTTAGAACCCGTTTGGACCCCCTACGAACTTGAACGCTGAGGAAAACCGAACCGCATCAACCACCCAGCGGCTCGGAGCCGTCCGCTGCAAGCGCCCTTGCCGCCAGCAGGTAGTACTCGTTGCCGCACTCGCGCGCCTCCGGCCGAGCGATCTCAAGAAAACGCGCAATCTCAAGAATCTCTGCACCGCTCCCTCCCTGCCCTCCCTCGGCACCATCCATTTGAGCCTTGCTGAAGCTTGCCCAAGCCTCGTCGCCATTCACAAAATCAGTGCAAAATGTACAAGTGGGGGCCGGCTTGGTTCATCTGCGGGTCCCTTCTGAATGCACGATGCAACGAGGACATAGCAAAGTTGCAAGCTCCGAAAGCAATGTGGCTGCTGGTTGACGACATTGAGGTGATGCGTAGCCTCCCAATAGATGGTTTGTGGGACAAATGGCTGGATTTCAATCTTTGACCAACCTTGGGAAAAAGGACTGGAAGCAAAAGTCCAAGCTGTACAGGTGCTGTTAACATCACCAATTCCCCGAAACGCACCATGGGCTAGTGATGGCCCGCTACATGGCGCAGGGCAATCCCGGGACTTGACGCCTGCTGCTCAAAGTCTGCCCAGTGCGGGTTTGCAGCGGCACAAAGCACGTCATGATGCACCGAGGCATTGCTCCGGCAAACCTTGCTGGCGATTTCTTCCATACATGCTTCACAGATTGGCATGTCATGTGCCCAAATAAGTATGTTCACAATAAGAAGACCGGATTCACAAATAGAAAAAATAGAAGGAAGGAAAAGGAAGGGAAAGAAAAGGAAGGAAGCAAGGAATCCACGAACCTATCTCCCAGTGTGCACACAAACACTCTATTATGTGCCAAACATGTCTAGGTCCAGGCTGTTGCCCGCGCTAAGTGAGGTATATGCCTGCTGACTGCTGCACCCCAAACAGCTCATTTGGGAATTAGTTCTATCATTGGTAGCACCGGGTGGCACCTTCATGATGGGCGGGGGGGGGGGGGGGCGGGTGATGGTGGGGGGGCGACAGGGCTTCTGCAAAGGGTGTAGGGAAAAGGGTTCAGGATTAGGGTTTACGGCTTAGGCTGCTGCGCCTGTCACTTCGTGGGGGGGGTGCGGGTGATGATGGGGGGGGGGTTCTGCTGCGCCTGTCACTTCTGCAGGAAGTCAACACATCACTTTAGGGTTTCTGCTGCGCCTGTCACTTCTTCAGGTAGTCAACACATCACTTTTAGGCTTTAGCGTTTAAGTTCAGGGTTTAGTTTAGGTTTAAGGTTTCTGCTGCGCCTGTCACTTCTGCAGGTAGTCAACACATCACTTTGCGGTTTCTGCTGCGCCTGTCACTTCTTCAGGTAGTCAACACATCACTTTGGATTCCGCTGCGCCTGTCACTTCTGCAGATAGTCAACACATCACTTTAGGGATTCTGCTGCGCCTGTCACTTCTTCAGGTAGTCAACACATCACTGTAGGGTTTCTGCTGTGTCACTTCTGCAGGTAGTCAACACATCACTTTAGGGTTTCTGCTGCGCCTGTCACTTCTTCAGGTAGTCAACACATCACTTTAAGGTTTCTTCTGCCTGTCACTTCTTCAGGTAGTCAACACATCACTTTAGGGTTTCTGCTGCGCCTGTCACTTCTTCAGGTAGTCAACACACCACTTTAGGGTTTCTGCTGCGCCCGTCGCTTCTTCAGGTAGTCAACACATCACTTTAGGGTTACTGCTGCGCCTGTCACTTCTGCAGGTAATCAACACATCACTTTAAGGTTTCTGCTGCGCCCGTGACTTCTGCAGGTAGTCAACACACCACTTTAGGGTTTCTGTCACTTCTGCAGCTAGTCAACACATCACTTTAAGCTTTCTGCTGCGCCTGTCACTTCTTCAGGTAGTCAACACATCACTGTAGGGTTTCTGCTGCACCTGTCACTTCTGCAGGTAGTCAACACATCACTTTAGGGTTTCTGCTGCGCCTGTCACTTCTTCAGGTAGTCAACACATCACTTTAGGGTTTCTGCTGCGCCTGTCACTTCTTCAGGTAGTCAACACATCACTTTAAGGTTTCTGCTGCGCCTGTCACTTCTTCAGGCGCCTGTCACTTCTTCAGACACATCACCTTAGGGTTTCTGCTGCGCCTGTCACTTCCTCAAGTAGTCAACACATCACTTCAAGGTTTCTGCTGCGCCTGTCACTTCTTCAGGCGGTCAACACATTTAAGGCTTCTGCTGCGCCTTCCACTTCTTCAGGTAGTCAACACATCACTTTAAGGTTTCTGCTGCGCCTGTCACTTCTTCTGGTAGTCAACACATCACTTTAGGGTTTCTGCTGCGCCTGTCACTTCTTCAGGTAGTCAACACATCACTTTAGGGTTTCTGCTGCGCCTGTCACTTCTTCAGGTAGTCAACACGTCACTCTAGGGCTTCTGCTGTGCCATCTGTCTTTCAAAAGCATCTTTATCAGCAAAAACACCAAAGCTCCCAATCCTTAGACAACGACAGCTAGCCAGCGCCACGCAACTAAACAAAAGAACACGAACAAATCGCTTCCGCAACTGCTAACCACCGTGAAGCACGCGCGATTTTCATACCCTGCCAGCCCCTTGAGTCAAGAAGGTATGCCAAAGAAAGCAGCACGTATGCAATTGCACAAAAAAACTTGCGAAAAAAATTGCGTGGCGCAACATTACAAGAGCCAATAACTAATATCATCATCATGGGCGGCGGCAAATGCCGAAGGCCCGCTGAGACACATAAAGATCATGCATCACCATCATAAAATTATACCTTATATCCAAGAAAGGTTACCCCAAAAAACGCCCGGATCACTCGCGCACCCCACCTGCGATCACTTGGGCACCCCACCGGCCAAAATGGACCGCGGATCACTTACGCACCCCAGATTTCGGATCACTTGCGCACCCCAGATGCCCAATGCATTTTGTTTACCCGACAACCCCAAGAAACGGATCACTCGGGCACCTCACGGGGCGCTCAAGCGATCCAAAACGGGGCGCCTAAGCGAGCCGTTGTCGTTGTCGGGGTGCTTAAGCGAACCCGCGCCCTTCCATTAGCAAAGCCTAAAACGGCATGTTTCGTTTATCATTATGATGTACCAAGCTGAAAAATAGTAGCGGACTTTTCTGATGGATGAGCTTATTTTTCCCAAAGGGCAAGTTGCGCTGGCATGCGCGATTGCCCGTTAAAAGGCCGCCTCTCTGGCCGGTGCTTGATTCTAAAGTGGTTCGCCCGCGGAAACAGGAGAAAAAATCGTACCAAGGGATGGGACTGCGGCCATCTGCCAAGCAGCCCCGCAGCAGTACCGCGCGCCACAGTTTTGTGGACAGCCCACCTCAGCACCTGCCACGACCCTCCCTGCATGCAACTGACAAGAAGCAATGGACCCCATTCGATTCCACAGTGCAGTTACCGTTGGCAAAGCCAAATGTTGCTGGCACTCATGCACCCAAAAAAATTGTCCAAACGCGTTTTTTCTTGGAAGTACTCCTCAAAATCGGAACAACGCTGAACACCCCCTCCAGGGAGCCGACATGGGACAGTCTTGCAAACTTCTCTTAACTGCTCCACCTTGAAAGGAAGATGGGCACGCCTCCAAAAAAGCGGCGCAGGCAATGCTGGCAGTGGTTTTCCCTGTTGGGCTCATCGAACATCAGCAGCGCCATCCCATCCACTGGATCTTCTTGGAACAGCAGCTGCCCCTGGCCAAGTTTTAGAAAACATGACGCCGACATGGCGTGGGGCAAACCTTGGTGAATGGAAGCACGTTGACTAAAGGTCCAACTCCTGCTTGTTCAATTTTGACCCACACGCACAAACTTGAAGGAAACAAGCAAAGCTGGATCACGGCATGGAACAAATCATCTAGCAAAAGCAAACGCGCTCAGAGGGATTTAGCACGCTCACCGACTCACCGATTGAGGAAGGTCGTTGGGAAGGGCCCCACTGTACGGACGCATACAAATTTACCCAAATGTTTTCAGGGGAAATAGATAGCCTGGTAGATGATTAAACCACCAGGAAAATCAGTGCCATCTATCTCTTGACACCTATGCAAATGCACGAAAGCCATCGAAAGCCCTGTGTCCTCCTCCAAAGCCCTGGTGGTGAACAGCCCGTTGCCCTTCACCACGTCTGCGCCGCCACAGGGGCGGACCTCCAGCCCTTCGGGGCAAACACGGCGCCATGGCTGCATAGCCGGCTGCCATTCCACAGGCGTCACAGCCGTGTTGTGTCAACCTTCTGCTTTATTGGCGCCTGGCCTCTGAACTGAGCTGCTAGCAGCCGCCAGCCTCCAAAAACAACAGTCGGGGTCTAACAGTTTTTTTTCCTAACAGTTAGCATGACTGGGTTTCTAAAAGCGGGCTACCAAAGCCAGAGCAGAAGCGATTGATCCGGAGAAGCAATGTGCGGCGCAGTCCGCTGCTGATGCGGACGAGGCTTTGCCGATGAAACCGGGAAACCAGCAAATGGACCTTGCGGCGACACAAACAAGCTCAGCTGCGGCAAGTCCCTGCAGCACGACTGTGGGAAGCCTTTCAGCAGGACGGCAAGTTCGGTGCACGCATTGTGTGCTGATAACTTTGGACGAATTCCCCTGGCACGTATGGAGCCCCTCCCGGGCAGAGATGTTTTTTTATTTTCATGTCTGAACGTCGCAGCCATGGCACTCTGCACGCTATTCTTGGCGGAGGGAAGCACGGGGGCCACCTCATCAGAGGAGGCGCCCGAGTCATGCTCAACTCCTACAGACACGCTGGCTAACGGCGACGCCGCAACTCTTGAGCTTCTGGCAGGGGCGTTGTTGTTGTTTTGTTTCTTTTCTTTCTTTTTCTTTTCCGCCGCTCGAGTCTTACCCCGTGCCCGGGGGCTCCCCATAAGCAGGGCACACAGGCCATTTGTACCCGGGGCTTCCCGGCTGTGCCAGCGCAGCTAGCGGCAGGCAGCCGACTAGCGGCGCGTCGGGGGGCAGGGGCTCGCCGTCGGCATGGCTGAGCGCCTGGGTAAAGGTTGCAGCGGGAAGGCCGTCATGGCTGCGCCAGAGGAGTGCAGACCAGCGGACACAGGAACGACGACCAGGCTACACGAACCGGCGTTTAACACGCTTTGGCTCGCGCGAGGGTGTGCACAATTGAGGCTGCTTACCCGACGACCTCAACGGCAAACATGGGCCCGTCACACCCTTGCCAAACCGCAAGCGCCAAAACACACACCGAGTTCCAGCACGCGCGCGCGGCTGCTGGTGCTGGAGTCCTCGGCCGCCTCAATGACTGGAAAACTGTGCAAAAACCCTCAAAAACCTGTTTGGGACCTGTATCGCGCGAGAGACAAGATCAATTACTCCTACGCCCACACCTGACCCAAACAAGAAACTCTACAATTGTACGGATGGTCATAAGAAAGAAAAAACTCAAAGGGCGCCCAGCACCACCAAACTTGGGCCACGAGGTCGGCGTGATCCGTTAGGTGCAAAAAGAAACTGAACACATGCAAATGAACTGCAGTCAAGGTCTCACGCGTTTTCTTTCTCGTGTGTGCCAAAGATCGGGGAGGTCCATCGAAGGCTTCTCTTCACACGGTTCAGCCTTTGCCTTCACGTGCCGGTGTGGGTTGGGCGGGCGGGTCGACGCCAAACGTCAGCATCCAGCAACCCATGCTCACATGCGAAGATCGGCAAACGGGTGCGTCCTGTTTGTGTTCAAATATGTTCGGTCAAAAATCAAACTCGTTCCGCCAAGTTCTGCAAAATCCAAGTGTCAAAACTCAATGGATCCTTTCCTGGCACTGCCACTTGCGTGCACATAGCACGCCGGCGCGTGTGCACCGCTTTTCTGGAGCTCCAAGGCTCACCCAAAAAAAAGACAAGGCAAGCAAGCCGGAGTCAAACGTTCCTGTTTGCGGCGTCATGCTCTCATGACTTCAGGAGTGGTCTTCATGGTAAAGTATCGTCACAAGTGACATCCCACTTACTCCTACGCCCACACCTGACCCAAACAAGAAACACTACAATTGTACGGATGGTCATAAGAAAGAAAAAACTCAAAGGGCGCCCAGCACCACCAAACTTGGGCCACGAGGTCGGCGTGATCCGTTAGGTGCAAAAAGAAACTGAACACATGCAAATGAACTGCAGTCAAGGTCTCACGCCTTTTCTTTCTCGTGTGTGCCAAAGATCGGGGAGGTCCATCGAAGGCTTCTCTTCACACGGTTCAGCCTTTGCCTTCACGTGCCACCCTCCCCTCTATGATCTTGACAACTCCACGGGAAGGCCTTCGTACGAGGGTGAAACAATCTCAAAGTCTTCTCTTGGATATTCATCCTTCTTCAACCGTGATGCCGCATCTGCTATGTTGCTCGAAGAAGGGACCCTAGAGTACCAGTTAGTCAGGCCCAGCTTCAGGTCAAGTTCAGCACTCTGCATTAACAGGTTAAAGTTGTGGAGGATCGGGGAGTAACTCTTTACCAGCGCAGATCTTGCTGCCTCGTTGTCGCAAAACCACAAAACGCTCCTGCCTGCAAGCAAATCTGCAAATGTGTTCTTGACAACATTGATTGGGAAAAGCTCAGCCTGGCATATCACCTGCTTCTTGCCGTTCCGGGCCCAAAAGTCAACAAACTGTCTGGGCACTGCATCTCCGAAAACCAAACGCTTTCTCCTGCCAGGGATATACACCACGGCCCCGTGCGTGACCGACGCCAGCTCATCCTCACAAGCACCGTCTGTAAAAACCACAATAGGCATACCAGTGGACCATGGCTGCACCCTCCTCGGAGGCGCGGCAGACAAGGTAGCAACCGCGTACGCAATTGCTTGCTTGACGGTGTGTGAGAGAACAAGTTCACCCTGCTCTTTGACTGCGATACCTATCAGTTGGATGGCCAACTGCGAGCACCTGCCCATTGTGTGCCCTGCAGCGTAAAGAAGGCGTCCTTTCAAGGATGCGAGCTTGGATGAGCTGCATGCACCTTCAGAGCACAGCTCTTCTGCCAGGGAACGAATGTCAGCCAGGCGACCTTCCTTGTTGCTGACGATCACGACTCCTGAAACGCTCTCTTCAAATGAAATTGTCGCTCCCAGCATGTCAAAAACCTTTCTGAAAGGCTTACGCTTTGACTCGGACGTGGAGATAGTCCAGCCCAGCAACTGCATCACCGTTTCCGCCGTTTTGTGCGCTGACTCTTGGAGGACGGCTGTCTCCATCTGGCAAAAATCATCGAAGAAGTTCGTGTTCACCAACAAGAAAAGCCTGCTGAGAATCATTCTCAATGCTCTCGCCGCTCTGTTAAAGGCAAGAACTGAGCTTACCGAACCGAACGGCAAGGCCACTGCCTTGAAGAACTTCACTGCGTCACTTGCCGGATCGTACGCCGCCAGAATGGAAGCCCACGCATCGTTGGGATGGCGGGCCAGCTGTTTGTACGCGGACTTCAGGTCCAGTGCCCGGCCAAATAAATCGCTCACATCTCTGGAGCTCCACGCCTCGTGCACCGGAACACGTCTGACCCCACCGTCCACTTGCGGAATCAACGCCATTCCCTTCCCTTGCGAGGCTCCCAGAAAAAACCTGCTGGTTGCAACTACTTCGTCAAGGCCCTCAAGAGAAATCCTCTCCGACGTGGAAACAGATGCATTTATGAGAAACTCAGACATGTCGTCCACCGCCCTGATTTTTTCACCTTGCACGACCCCGAACCGCTTCGAGGGCACCCACGTGGACTCAAACTCCTCTTCCAGCTGGTCCCACTCAAAAGGGCCTTGAAGCCACCCAGACCCGTCAGTTGCCTGCGTCATGGTTTCTTCCCAAACAGCCTTTGCAGCTCGTTCGTGTGCTGCTGCCCGGCGACACGATGCCTGTACCATGTGCTTGGACCATTTGGCAGACTCCTTCAAGGACTCCACATCAATTGCGGCAGGTTTTAAACTCAGTGGAAACTGTCCGCTGGGAGGCTGTTGCCCAACCAAGCGGAAACCATCGACCATGTCTTGCAGTAGCCGCTCATCCTGAACGCCTGCATCTTTCAGCATCTTTCCGAACAGTAGCAAACGCTTTGACTGCATGACCTGCCGGACATCAGGATGCATAGACTCCTTAAGCAGTCGTTCTTTGGGCTCAAGACTCCTGGCAAGAGCCATGTACTTTTTGAGCTGCTCCACTCTGAAGTTCGCCACAAAGTGAGGACCTTTCTCAACCAAAGCCTGAATCGCTTTCAGACTGGCATCTTCTATTGGCAGCGGCGTGTCAAAGGGGTGTCTGATTTCTGACGCAATCCGGAAAAACTCTCCAGGTGTCCTATACACACCGAAAACTGCCTCTCGCGTTGCCTTGTCTCCCCTTTGTGAATCACCTCGCAACAGAGAGGACAACAGCTTGGACCCAAGGGGCAAGCCCTGTAAAGGGTGCGGGGCTGAATCCGGGATCTTCGGAGGCAAGTCCATGTCCAGTGGAACTTGCACATGCACCTTGGTCTTGAAGTCTTGCAAAAGCAAAGGACCTCGCGTGTGTCTGGGTTGCTTGTGCGACTGCACGGCTGCGGCGTGATCTCTGAGAGAGTCGCATTCCTGCATGCTTTTGCCGTGCGATTCCAACCAAGCCTTCATCTGAGTGACGATGGCTTTGCAAAGCAGCGCGGTGTATTGCGTGGCGCCTGCAGACTTGAAAGTCCACATTTCACTTCTTTCGCGTGCGTTCCACGGAGCATGATGATGGCGGTTGTTGCACTTGGCCCTCAAGTGCGGCAACGGCGCAGTGGAAAGCAAAGCTGTCTGTGTGAAATGCGCTGAGCCATACATGCAGGCATCAAACTGCTCAAAATGGAAAGCGCTCGTTAATCCCGTGAACCATTTGGTTTCCCACATGCGCGATGTAGCAGGGCCTTCGACAATGCACAGAACTTGGTGGCGCACGCAAGCTTGAAAAACTTGTTGGCAAAAGGAATACAATTTGTTGGCTTGTCTGACTCGAAGACGACCCAGCCCGGATAATCGTGGCACTCCTTCCGGAAAAGCTGCAGTCCTCAGAGCCCGAGACGAAGTCCCGTACGGCGGTGCCAACAAACAGGCGTCAACCCTGCCGTCGCGGATTTCTTTCATGACCAACTTCTGGCTGGCTTTACTGGACAAGTCGACTTTGGCAGCGGGACCCTTCATGCGTGCTTTGTTCAGCACGTGATCCATACCCAGTGCGCGGCCGCCCTGAGCAATGAACTGAGCTGTCACTCCAGCACTCCCGCAAAGTAGCTCTAAAAGGAATGGCACTCTCTGCTTGACAGATGTGCCACTGCACGGATGCTCCGACGAGACCAACTTAGTCTCGCCCTGCAGCTCGCTGCTGGAAAGTGGGGCGGTCTCGCCACTGACATCAACTGAACGGCTTTCCGACAAGTTGATGCTTGAGCCTCGCACCCGGCTTCCCGAGCGGTGACTCTGAAAAGGGCTCCCAACCGCTTTCGTGGGGGAGCGTTGCAAGGGCCTGTGCTCACTTGCGTGGGAAGGAGGCCTCTCGCCTGACTTCCGAGCTGGCTTGTGTTGTCTTGGCAGCGGCCTGAGCTCGTCTGCCTCATCTGCACATGGTGAAACTTTGCTCTCAAAGTCGGATGGCATGTCCTGATCTAGTCAAGACTTGTGGTCCACAAATGCATGCGCCGGGCTGAAGCAACCGTTGGCACAACATACATGCAGCCCCTTTGGGCATTTCTTACCCTTGTGCTTGCAGGTTTTGAGGTTGAAGCCGAAACACACTGGCTCATTGTCCTCGTTCACCGACACACCCCCACGGAGGCCCTTTGGCATTGGCATGCGGGCCCTTTTGGCTACCGGCTCGGGCGGCGGCGGGGGCGGGCGCTGAGCCTGCTTCTTGGTTGGGGCCTTGTGCGCGGCCTCCGCTTTCGGGGCTGCGGCCCGTTTGGGCTTTGGCATCAACATCCACATGAAATTCGGTGACGCAATCACTTCACAAACCACTATGTCCAAGGGCAGCTCACCATTTGGGCCCGGAACCAGGCCTGCTCTGGTCTTCTCTTCCCTCCGGTGGCTCCCGTTGAAACTCTTGAAAAAGAGACGCGACCAACCTCTCGTGGCGCTCAAAGGACATGAGCTGACCCAATGCATACGCCACCCCACGACGTCTCAGCGCTTGGTGTACTTCAAGGTCTGTTGACAAAATTGCTGACACCTCAGGCTCTTTAGGCACTTCTTTGATAGTGCCTTTGTCGTCGGGCTGCCACACTTTGAGGGCGTGGTCCTCCTTCATGTTGTTCACCTCTTGGTTGCGCGTGGTGCAGCGGCTCCACTCTATGTATCTCAATCTCTGATCTTCAACAACCTGGGCCACTGCGTTGATGAAAGCATGGGATGGCTCAAGGGAGCCCTCGATCTTTAGAGGGTCGATGTCTCTTTGCAAATTTCCTATGCGGTCTGCCAGCTCAGCAGGTGGCAGCTTGCGAGGCTTTGAATCCTCGGGTGTATCAACCTTCCTCCTGAGATCCGCCACCGTGAGGGTGAAGCTCTCAAAGTGCAAACGACGAAGCTTGGCTGCAGAAGTATGGCTTGGGTCGCCAAGAACCTCCTGCACTACTTGTGTCACAACACTGCTCTCATCCGCCTGGCCTGCCTGCACAGGCACTGAAAAGGCGAAGGTTGCATACGTGGACCATCCTTTGGTACACAGTGCGTTATCTTCATCCTCAGTCAAGCCCACAGCCAAACATCTGGCCTTGAAGACTGCAGGACTGTCTATGAGCGCCATTGCGCCGATCCGTTGGCTTTCCAAGGATCAAACATAAACTTTGATCACGTTCTGCTGCAGGCTTGCTATCTTTCATCAAGTTTCCAGGGCCCTTAAAGGAAGGGGGAAACACAAAGAAAAAGGAAACGAACCGAGGGACAAACCCAGCGCAATCACGGAGGCGGTTACTTGTCACCAAGCCCTGCAGCAGGCACTCCTGACTTCACTAAACCACTCGTGCAAATCTGAGGCGAAGCGAACACTCTACAGCGGGGCCCGTAAAGAAAAGTGGAACCACACCCCAAAAGCACAAGGGAAAAGCAGACCGCCCTTTTGCGGTGTCTCGGCACCTGCATGCATGAGTGAGACAATGGCCTGTGTCCGTTGCTTGCGAGGCGACTGACAAAAGGCGGGGGAAACCTTAAGTGAAACAAATTTTGCAACGGGTAGCCTCGGAGCCTAACACGCGATCCAATTTCACGAAGTTGGCCGAGACCCACCTTCCACACCTTAAAAGTGAGAGTTGCTCATGCTCGTCCGAATGCACCGTGTGCCTCTGGATGTGAACGACACCACTGGATCTGTGTTTAAACAAACCTGCTTCTGGCCCCAAGTCAATGACTGGAATCGAAGATGCCACCTTTGACACCGCTCTCTCTGCTTGGCATTCTTGTTCTCCTTCACTGGAGGTGCTCTGCATATCTTCCGATGACTCCGAACAATCGGATGATTGCTCGTCTGCCGAGTGCTGCAATCCTGGCAGCACCCCTTCATCAATAAATTGTCGTAAACCTTCGTTTTCAGCGGACAAAAATTCTGCACATGAAACACTTGCGCCCACTTCCATGTCAGGTGAATATTCTTCTTCGGGAACAACTGTTTGGTCTCCTGGTTCTGCTTGTTCTTCAACCGCATCCGGAACCACATGACCAACAGCCATCTTGCTCATCGCATCTTCAAACGACACGCAACCAATCCATCTTCCAGATCTGGTCTCATCAGGCAAAAAGAAACCTTGCCTGATGCACAAATACAAGCCGCCCAAGAAATGGAGAACCGGGCCTTGCGCGTCCCGGCTGTACTCAAGCGCGCTCCTTGATGACGGATCGACATGATAACCGGCCAATCGCCTCAGATCGATGGGCGCGTTGGCCTTGGCCATCCAAGACAAACAAGTACTCTTGCAGCTGTGAGAAGCAATGTCTCGCAACGGCCCACTGGGAGAAACTTTTGTCAGCAACTCGCGCAGCCACATGGACCCTTCAGTCGGCCTTAACGGCGTGAGCGCCCAACCTCCATTTCGCATCGGGGCAGGCATGGTTGGCCTACCCCGGCCAGCATTGAGATTGTGCTTTGACCGGTTTAATAACCACGTCTCTGCCCAAAATTTGCCTGGTAAAGCTGCCGCTGCGGGCAACAAACGCTTACTTAAACCTTGCTGCCGACCTGAGTTCTTGTGGTGGTACAAATTGCATTCAAGGGAACCAAATTCTCTGGTCCGCTCTACGACAGGCTCCTCGTTGCAAAACTGGCCGTCACTCCATCTCAACCTGCAGTGCACTAGAAAGCAAATATACCCCGCAAAAATTGCCTCATGATCTTCACCGTAAAACGCAAGTTGCTCCAATGCAAACAATTGTTGCACCGTCAAAGGGTCCTTCTTGCGAACTCCACATAAAGGTACATCCGAAACAGTCGCGCCCTTGATCCTTGCAGATTGAAGTATATGGTCGACATCCGCCCCTAGGAATCCTTTACTGAAACCCAGCGCCTGCAAAAAACGCGGCGCTCTCGACCTGGGAGCGCCTTCCTTCCGAAGATCAGTCAAATATTTGTAGACCTCTGGCTCGCTCGTCGGAAATATTGAAACTTCTTGTCCGGCATTGCGAGACTTCTTCCAACGACCGAACATGAGCAAAGCTGAAGCCCGGGCCTTGAGCGTGCTTATAGATTTGCCTGCGAAAACATCACCCAAGATTTGTTGCGCTGCGCCCCCCGCGTCTTCAGAGAGGGACATCAACTGTCTTCCCAACAGCGTGCCCTCACCACTGTCCAGAACGATGACGCGCCACTGCTCGATTGCCTTTGCCAGCTTGGCTTCCTCCACTAAAGGCCAAGAGCACAAAGAAGTCTTCACTGTCCAGCTTCCTCGTGGTCTCTGAGAAACCGTTTGCACGTGCGCAGCTTCATCATCAACAGCGGAGCGTGCCATAGGCACCCATACCGGGGGAGTGACCAAACTGACAGCTGACCCAAAGATTGGCCTCATCGCTCCGGTCTCCCAAGGCAAGGACAGTCTAACCTTCTTTGTGCCAAGCGAAAAAGCAACCGCATCCACCGAAGCGCCGTCCATGGCTTCTACCGGGACTTATCCCGACCTATGCCCCCCTTCGACGCCAAACGTGAAGGGGCATCCCTCCCACCCACCCTCTTGAACACATGCAACACACACAGCATCCAGCAACCCATGCTCACATGCGAAGATCGGCAAACGGGTGCGTCCTGTTTGTGTTCAAATATGTTCGGTCAAAAATCAAACTTGTTCAACCAAGTTCTGCAAAATCCAAGTGTCAAAACTCAATGGGTCCTTTCCTGGTCAAACGTTCCTGTTTGCGGCGTCATGCTCTCATGACTTCAGGAGTGGTCTTCATGGTAAAGTATCGTCACAAGTGACATCCCACGGTCTGCAGCCGCGCGCCAACCGTCCAGGGGCACGGGTCCTGCTTCGGAAGCGCGCTGGCTGAAGGATCAGCCCCAGGCACACAGGCAGCATCAGGAAGACTTCGGCTGAGCACGGACCGGAATGTGACAACGGCATAGCAAGAGATGCTGCATCAAGCCTGTCACTGCGGGCACAGGCGTGGGACAGATTTTCGGCAGCAAACGCAGCTTGCTGCCACTCGCGTCCAATGCCGCGCCAAAGCGAGGGACTCAGGTCCCAGCGCACCGCGTGCGCCCTGAAATGTGCAGTGCGAAAGCCGGCCCTAACACACTGTTTCGATTTTTTTTCTGTCCGCTTGACGCGCTCATCTTGCAAGGCGGCCCTGGCATCAGCCTGTGAGCCCCCACAATGCCAGGACACGCCTGCGCTCGGGTGAGGGAACGTCCTCACCCTCAGGTCCCAGAGCGCCACGTATGCCCTGAAGATTGGCAACAAAATGCGTGAGTGCCTGGACCATCTCACCAGGCTGCATGTTGGAGGCCCCTGCCAGAACGCGCCAGGCTTACAACCTGCAAGAACAGTTGGAATGTTGAACAGCTTGTTCACTCCTGCCTCCGTGGCTGCATTGTTTTCGCCACGGACCTGCGCGAAAGCCATTGTCCGCGAAGAGCAGTGGTTGCGGCAGGAGATTCCAGAGCTTTTCCGCAGCGTCTCTGTCGCAATTTGGGGGGGGCCGGGCACCAGGGTTCTGCAAACTCTTTTTCGGAGGCCAGCGTCCTCACCTGCACGCTGCTTTTACGGAGGGCAGCGTCCGCGCGTGCACATGACGGCTACCGGGCCGGCAGCCGCGACGCCCCAGGGGAAGATGGGCTCGCATCACTCAAGTCCGGGCAAGGCCCATCAAGATTGCTCAGGCCAGGGGGGGGCAAGGAAGTGAGGCTGTCAGCGAAGGCGAGCGAAGCTGCAGCGTGCAAAAAGCCGGACGCCGCTCGGGCTCTTGTACGCTCGAGGAGGCGGAGAAAAGAGGCGGCTTCTGACCTCCAGCGGCCTCCGACCTCTACACCGGTCACAAACCAGGCGGCAGCGGGCACTGGCAAGAAGCTCAAGGTAGGTGGCTTCCTTGCGGTCAGGCCGGGTCGCGCTGAGAACGGGCCTCCCCAGCGGCGGTGAGCGGGGACACAATGGTCGTGTCAACCGCGAACTGGGCCCCATTCCACGAAGGGAAGCCGTTTGCGATGACCTCGATGCGACGGTCATCAAAGCGAGAGACCGCCACATTGAGGTCACGCAAGGGTGTTCCTGCTGCACGCTCGAGCGGGCACCCTCGACTCCAGAGTGCACTGCGCGTGGCTGCTCCTGCTCAGGCGCCCTTCTCCCTGAGCCTGCGGGTATCGGGTATGCGGGCTGGTGGTCACCTGCCTGGAGGGTCCTGCTTCCTGCCACGCCGGCTCCGCGCTGAGACTCAAAGCAATGGCATGCCCAAACGCCTCCACTCGGAAGCGCGGCTTGCTGCCACCCGGACCCTATGCCGCGCGCGTCGTCCCCGACACTCGCACCACGGTCCTCAGCATAGACGGGGTCGGGGCTTACGACCATTTATCGTGCGCGAGCATGTTGAGCGTTGTGCGGCACAGGCCCAGCCTCGTGGCGCTGCCCCCCTTCGTGGCCCAGTTTCACGCTAAGCCGAATACCTACGTCTTCTACGACGTCCCGGGCGCCGTGCACGACATTGCGCCAGGCGAGGGAGGCGAACAGGGGGATCCCCTCATGCCCGCCCTGTACGCGTTGGGGCAACATCCTGCTTTTCTCCAAGCGCACGCGACCTTAGCCCCGGGGAGGACTTGTGCGTGAAATTTACGTTGCACGCGCCGTGCCTGCTTTTACGGCCTCAGGCAGAGCGCTCTGGGGGCGTGCGAACATCCGCGTCCATTTCGGCAAGACGCGAGCATGGAGTGCCGCGGGTGAGGAGCCCAGTGCACTACTGGATGCGCTCCCCGCCGCCGGCGACCTGCGCGCCTCCAAAAGCCGGGGGCTCATTCGCGACGACCTCGGGCCGGCGCCCGTCGGTCAATGGCGGCAGCCCGAGGTTCGTCGGCCAATGGCAGGCAAGCACGACCAACCGGCATCTGCGCGCCCGCACGAGCTCTGGGTAGGCCCGCTCTTTGCGACGGCGCGCCAGCGCCAGCGACTCGACCCCCGCGCCGAACGGGCTGGCCCTGGCCTGACAAGGGCGAGACAAGGGTGTGTCTACTGCAAGTTGCTGGCCCCCCCACAGTAGGAGGCCATTGGCCACGACCTCCAGCCGCCTATCGTCGACCCGGTCAACTTGAAGGTTCAAGTCCGCAAGGCGTGTGTTGGAGGTGACTCTGGCCCCAGCTTCTCTGCAAACGCGTGCGGCCGCACGCTCCAGCGGCCTTGGCTCTCGCAGGCTGGGCCAGGCGCCGGCCTGGCTGGTCCGTCGCGCTTGCCCCTCTGGAGCACGCTGCGGCGCGCGTTTGCCGGGAGGCGGGCGCTCGGGTCGCGTTCCTCCGCGACCTGAACCTCGGGCTGATGAGGCCGCCTCCTTCATCCGGTCCTTGGCCCGCGCCCGGGCACTTGAAGCGCCAGCTCGGCTGCGCCCCAGTGTTGTCGGCGCTCTTGTTGCCAGGTGGCCGGCCCAGCTGACCCATGCAGCCATGACAGCCTTTGCTTCGTCCCTTCTCAGGCAAGCTGCCGGGCCGGAGCTTTGCAATGCCGGGGGTGGCACCCTGCCTGCCCTTGGCACCTTGCTTGCTGATCTTGCCCACGTGCCACCGGCGGGCGCATCCCGCTTGCCCGGCCGGTGAGCCGCATAGCCGGGAGCCGCCGGTACACAAATGGCTGCCCCCTTAATGCCCCCTAAGCACATCCGGGGGCCGCCGGTATATAAGTGGCCTGCAGGAGCAGACGGAAAAAGGCGCGAGAAAAAAAATAATCAACCAGGCCCATCAGCATCCGCGCCGCTCGCCTATGACCGGCATGGCATCTGCCGAGGGGGCCCAATAGGCCGCGGCTCGGGTCGCCGCGGCCGATCGGAGGCTAAGGCCCCCCCCCATACCGGAGTGGCAACTGCGCACGCCTAGCCGGCTGCTGGGCAAGTCTGACGGGCTCAGCCGCGCCGCCAAGCAAGCGCCCCAGGCGTGGGACTCAGCGAGTTTTCCCGTGCACGCGAAACAAGTAGTTGCTCCGAGGCTGCGCGCAAAGGAGCGGGAGGAGCCAGGCGCTCTGTAGGCGCGGGACCGTAGGGATGCGGCCCAAGAGGTCGTCACGCTTCTCCCTCACGCTCCGCAAAGCTCCCGCGATGCATGCGGCATGCCCCAGCGGCGTGCCCAGGACTGTGAGGCCCTGCTGGGCGTGGCCTCGCCCAGCTCCCTGCCCAGGCATCGGCGTGCGACGCTCGTCAGCCCGCTCAGACGCGACGGGAGCAGCCGGCCTCGCGCCGACCTAGGGCCCGGCCTCGCCTTGAGGGCCGCGGCCGAGCGCAAGCATCGGGTAACCTACCCGGAGTTCCAGCGAGCCAGGCGGTGTCGCTTGACGGTGCTGACCCTTGAAGTTGGAGGGACTCTACCTGCATGAAGCTGTCGGGAAGGCGCGCATGAGCAGGAGGGCACAGAGAATTGGCAGCTCCCGGATTGCACGGGCTGCTGCTCTTGAAGGCGCTGCACCTGTGTGGTAGGTGACGTCCGTGGAACAGGAAGGCCTGGCGCGTGGGGAGCGTCATGTTTTGCTCAAGCATGCAGCAGGATTCCCAAAGCTCGCTCGCGCGCTTGGCTGTCGCATGCAAGAGCCTGGCCGCACGCTTGTGGGAGGGCAAGCGCGGCAAAGCGCAGCCTCCGCTCCGTGAGGCAACGTGGTGTCCACGCTGCACGAGTTCTGGGTCGGACCCGTCGAGCTGCGAAGCCGGTGTCTGTGGGGGGAGCTGGTTTGTCAGGGCAAGTTGCCGCAGGAGAAGTTGCGCGGATTTGCTCTCAGGACGTTGCCGCCATCTATGGGGCTATGGACATCCATCCGAGCGCGGCGAGGTGTTGTGCTGGTTTGGAAGCCGACCATGATGGTGCCGCGCTGACGACAACTGCAACGAATGCGGGGTGGCGCAAGGGGGCAGCCCTGCTCGCCAGCTTGAGGCTTGTTGGGGTCGCTTGGACCGGTCTCAACAAAACGCACTTCCAACGTGACTGATGCGGAAGTTTCATGCGGTGAAGGCAACGCAAGCAAAACGCACCAAGAGGTCTCAGACACCCTAAGAATCGTCCACGGCACCAACGGCTCCAAAAGTCGACAAAGATAGTACTAAGAATATAAAAACAAAAAAAGAATCGGCCAAATTGTGACAATCCAACACGCGCACGGTCGGCGCCAGAACATCTTGACCGCTCCATCACAGACAAGTATTTCAAGCGGAGAGGCCACTGGTGGCAGTGGGGGCCCCGTGGTCGCGCGCCTAAAGCAAGCGCAGCCAACGCTGTCCAGCGACTGCGCGAAGAAACGTGCGCCAAAAAGTGCCCTTGGGGAAGCTCGAGCGTGGCATCCGCGACATGAAGAGGCTGTGGAGATGCCGCTCTGACGCCTGGTTTTGCCAGCGCGCTGCGTTCCCAGCACCAGGACGCCGCAACATCGGGAGGCACGCTGTGAGCAGCCACTGTGCAAAGCCAGCAGCCCTTGCACTCCCTGGCGGAGTAAACTGACTTGCTTTGCGGCACGGCCATGCGCCTTCAAGACGGGCAGCACTTCTAGTGACAAGCTGGGTCACATGCCAGCCAAAAAGTCCGCACAGATCTTCGAAGAAACGAGCTGGGCGCAGACGTGCTGGTGGCACTGTTGCGTGGCTTGCTGGAGAGTCAACCCGAATGCAGTTGTCGATTCGTTGGACTGGCACTTTACATGTGATGCGTTTATTTGAGGATTGGCCCCTTCGTTTCCTTTTCCTCAACCAAGCATTCACATAAACACAGTGGCACGAAGGGACACGGCACACAGAGGCCTCTGCGCGCATGGCCAGAAAGCATGTGATCCCCTATCTTGCGGCGCTACACTGTTCCTTTCCGGCTATGGGCTATGTCTGAAAACGGGTACGTAGTCAAATGACAATCAGACATGTCGTTTTGCTTGCCTCAGTATCAAAACACGCATGAGTACTGTGTGCCAAAGACAAACTGTTATATCCGAACAAACTGGCGCGCATTGCTTTGTGGTCATGCTCCTCGGCGTTATGCATGCTAGCTTAAAGCAAGGACCCAACAGCACGCTTGGCACATCTGTCATACATACTGTGGATGGACTAAATCCTGCACCACCCAAGAAACCAACAAACAATGGTTTCCCATGGTTTCCAAGTGGTGCAGGATTTCGTCCATCCACAGTATGGGTATGTGCTCCTTCCTCCTATTCCGCGAAAGGAAAAGTATGGATGACGCTTTCAGGAGCCAATGGGCCAGACATGTTTTGCCTGCTGCCAAAAAGTCTGCAAACTCTCATCTGGGGGCAGTCCATTGGTTTGCACAAGAGCAGCAGACAAAATTGGATGGCACATGGACTTGAAAAGATCGCTTGGTCACCCAGGATGTTGTAACAAGTTTGAGTGGCACCCCATGTCCTCCCCAAACCCAACATTTGACGTCCAATAACTTTCGCACTTGCTTGTGATGGCTCCCTTGTACACGCAGCAGCAACCTCCTCAGCATTGAAGAAACAGTATCGCCCAGATAGCCACTCACCATCCTGTTTCGCCTGCACTTGCTTAAAACTTGTCTTTTTGGCTGCCGGATGTATTTGATCCGTTCCTCCTCCACAGCAAGGCGCGCTGCTCGGACGAAAACGTTTTGTCCAAAGCTTGCTCTCCCGTTACGGGAACAAAGGCAACCTACTAGGTTGCACTTTGCAGCGAAGTCGCTCTGGCAAAACATAGCTACAGCCTGCGAAAGAATCATGACCGATTTCTGAAACGGAGTCGTGGATGATGACGGTTGCCAATGAGCTGCAGTTTTTGAAGGCAGAATCTCCAATCTCAGTGACAGAATTGGGAATGGTCACGCTTTCCAATGAGATGCAACCTTCGAAGGCACGTCTCCGATCTCAATGATAGAGTTGGGGATGGCCACGCTAGTCAACGAGCTGCAACCTGCAAAGGAAAGTGTTCCAATCTGAGTCACGGAGTTGGGGATTGCCACGATTGTCAAACAGGCACAACCTTGGAAGGCTCCAAAACTCAGAAACATCGCTGAGTTTGGCAAGGTCAGGCTTGCCAATGAGCTGCAACCTTTGAAGGCAAACGGTGGAATCTCAGTGACAGAATTACGGATGGGCACGCTTTCCAATGAGATGCAACCTTCAAAAGCAGTAGTTCCTATCACATTCACGGAGTCGGCGACGGCCAGGCTTGCCAATGAGCTGCAGCCTGGAAGGCACTGTGTCCAATCACAGTCACGGAGCTTGGGATGGTCACTCTTGCCAATGCAACCTTCGAAAGCACTATTCCCAGTGCCTGATGGAATTTCCACTACGCGAAAATCGTCAGGATCGCAGTCGGACGTTGAGAAGTTTTTGCATATCACCGGTTTAATGCTGAGGAAAGCCAGAACTTCTGTACCTGGAATGGCTTCCGACACCATCTCATCGTTGTTCAACAAGGGCTTGTCTCCAACAACTAACTCCACGCAGCTCATGCTGCGCTTTGATTCATCTGCGCAGGGCAGCCACCCGTGCGGCTGCCTCTTGAACTCTCGAAGAGTCATGTCTGTCAGCAATTCGAATGCCTCGTGCGCCCCAGACAGCTGTCGCATTGTAATCACCCTCGCCATGGCAGGGTTTCTTTTTTGGCTACTGATGCTTGAAATGCTGTTCTGAAAACTCGCGCTTGTGCCGCGTGGCTCGTTTGCTGGGCAGGTGTGGGCAATGTACGGGATGCGGGAAGTGCATGAGCTCGATGGGACTGGCCCCTTTTCGGGAGTCAAAATGGTTTCGGCGTCCGGGTGGCTTCGGACTAAACTCGCGAACTGGGTCTAACTACCGGGTCAAGCCCATTTTCAGGCCGAAGCAACGGTCCATAGTCAACCTCGTTTATCGCAAAGTGGTCATCAACTTTGCGATAAACGAGGTTGACTATGGACCGTTGCTCACACCCCACGCACACACAACCCAACACAACACAACACAACACAAAACAACACAACACACACACACACACACACACGGGGACACACACACACACAAACACGAACACAAAACCACCCAAGCACCCATACACACAGAGACACAGAGACACGCGCGCACCCACACACACACACACAGACACACACACACAAACAAACAAACAAACAAACGAACAAACACACAGGCACACGCACACGCACAAGCACATGCACATGCACACGCACACGCACACGCGCACCCACACACACACACACCCATGCACGCACGCACGCACGCACGGACGCACGCACGCATGGACGCACGCACGCACCCACACACAAACATGCATACACACACACGCACACACACACACACGTGTTTTTTGTGCGTGTGTCTCTGTGTGTGTGGTGTGTTTGTGTGTTTGCGTGTTTGCGTGTTTGTGTGTTTGTGTGTCTGGTTGTGTGTGTTTGTGTGTTTGTGTGTTTGTGTGTTTGTGTGTTTGTGTGTTTGTGTGTTTGTGTGTTTGTGTGTGTGTGTTTGTGTGTTTGTGTGTTTGTGTGTGTTTGTTTGTGTGTGTGTGTGTTTGTGTGTGTTTGTGTGTTTGTGTGTGTTTCTGTGTGTTTGTGTTTGTTTGTGTGTCTGTTTCTTTGTGTGTGTTTGTGGGTGTTTGTGTGTTTGTGCGTTTGTGTGTTTGTGTGTTTGTGTGTTTGTGTGTTTGCGTATTTGGGTGTTTGTGTGTTTGTGTGTTTGTGTGTTTGTGTGTTTGTGTGTTTCTGTGATTGTGCGTTTGTGCGTTTGTGTGTTTGTGTGTTTGTGTGTTTGTGTGTTTGTGCGCTTGTGCGTTTGTGCGTTTGTGCGTTTGTTCGTTTGTGTGTTTGTGTGTTTGTGTGTTTGTGTGTGTTTGTGTGTGTTTGTGTGTGTTTGTGTGTGTTTGTGTGTGTTTGTGTGTGTTTGTGTGTTTGTGTGTGTGATTGTGTGCGTGTTTGTGTACGTGTTTGTGTGTGTGTTTGTGTGTGTTTGTGTGTGAATTTGTGTGTTTGTGTGTGTTTGTGTGTGTGTGTTTGTGTGTGTGTTTGTGTGTGTGTTTGTGTGTGTGTTTGTGTGTGTGTTTGGGTGTGTTTGTGTGTGTTTGTGTGTGTGGTTGTGTGTGGTTGTGTGTGTTTGTGTGTTTGTGTGTGTTTGGGTGTGTTTGTGTGCGTTTGTGTGTGTTTGTGTGTATGTGTTTGCGCGCTTGTGTGTTTGTGCGGCTTGTGTGTTTGTGTGTTTGTGCGTTTGTGCGTTTGTGCGTTTGTGCGTTTGTCTGTTTGTGCGTTTGTGCGTTTGTGCGTTTGTGCGTTTGTGCGTTTGTGCGTTTGTGCGATTGTGGGTTTGTGGGTTTGCGCGTTTGTGCGTTTGTGTGTGTTTGTGTGCGTGTTTGTGCGTGTGTGTTTGGTTGTGTTTGTGTGTGCGTTTGTGTGTGTTTGTGTGTGTTTGTGTGGTTTTGTGTGTTTGTGTGTGTGCTTGTGTGTTTGTCTGTGTGTTTGCGTCTGTCTGTGTGTGTTTGTGTGTGTTTGTGTGTGTTTGTGTGTGTTTGTGTGTGTGTTTGTGTGTGTTTGCGTGTGTGTGTGTGTGTTTGTGTGTGTTTGTGTGTGTGCTTGTGTGTGTGTTTGTGTGTGTGTGTTTGCGCGCGTGTGTGTTTGTGTGCGTTTGTGTTTGTGTGTGTGTGTGTGTTTGTGTGTTTGTGTGTTTGTGTGTGTTTGTTTGTGTGTGTGTGTTTGTGTGTGTTTGTGTGTTTGTGTGTGTTTCTGTGTGTTTGTGTTTGTTTGTGTGTCTGTTTCTTTGTGTGTGTTTGTGGGTGTTTGTGTGTTTGTGCGTTTGTGTGTTTGTGTGTTTGTGTGTTTGTGTGTTTGCGTATTTGCGTGTTTGTGTGTTTGTGTGTTTGTGCGTTTGTGTGTTTGTGTGTTTCTGTGATTGTGCGTTTGTGCGTTTGTGTGTTTGTGTGTTTGTGTGTTTGTGTGTTTGTGTGTTTGCGCGCTTGTGCGTTTGTGCGTTTGTTCGTTTGTTCGTTTGCGTGTTTTTGCGTTTGTGCGTTTGTGCGTTTGTGCGTTTGTGCGTTTGCGCGTGTTTGTGTTTGTGCGTGTTTGTGTGTGTGTGTTTGTGCGTGTTTGTGTGTGATTGCGTGCGTTTGTGTGTGTTGGTGTGTGTTTGTGTGTTGGTGTGTGTGTGTTTGTGTGTGTTTGTGTGTTTGTGTGTGTTTGTGTGTTTGTGTGTGTTTGTGTGTGTGTTTGTGTGTGTGTGTTTGTGTGTGTTTGTGTGTTTTTGTTTGTGTTTGTGTATGTGTTTGTGTGTGTTTGTGTGTGTGTGTTTGTGTGTGTGTTTGTGTGTGTGCTTGTGTGTGTGTTTGTGTGTGTGTGCTTGTGTGTTTGTTTGTGTGTGTGTTTGTGTGTGTGTGTTTGTGTGTGTGTTTGTGTCTGCGTGTGTTTGTGTGTGTGTTTGTGTGTCTTTGTGCGTGTGTTTGTGTGTGTTTGTGTATGTGTTTGTGTTTGTGTTTGTTTGTGTGTGTGTTTGTGTGTGTGTTTGTGTGTGTTTGTGTGTGTTTGTGTGTGTGTTTGTGTGTGTTTGTGTGTGTGTTTGTGTGTGTGTTTGTGTGTGTGTTTGCGTGTGTGTCTGTGTTTGTGTGTGCGTGTTTGTGTGTGTTTGTGCGTTTGTGTGTGTGTGTGTGTTTGTGTGTGTGTTTGTGCGTGTGTTTGTGTGTGTGTTTGTGCGTGTGTGTGCTTGTGTGTGTTTGTGTGTGTTTCTGTGTGTTTGTGTGTGTTTGTGTGTGTTTGTGTGTGTATTTGTGTGTGTGTATTTGTGTGTGTTTGTGTGTGTGTTTGTGTGTGTCTGTGTGTGTCTGTGTGTGTGTCTGTGTGTGTTTGTGTGTGTGTTTGTGTGTGTTTCTGTGTTTCTGTGTTTGTGTGTGCGTTTGTGTGTGTTTGTGTGTGTGTTTGTGTGTGTGTTTGTGTGTGTTTGTGTGTGTTTTTGTGTGTGTTTGTGTGTGTTTGTGTGTGTTTGTGCGTTTGTGTGTTTGTGCGTTTGTGCGTTTGTGCGTTTGTGCGTTTGTGCGTTTGTGCGTTTGTGCGTTTGTGCGTTTGTGCGTTTGTGCGCTTGTGCGCTTGTGCGTTTGTGCGTTTGTGCGTTTGTGCGTTTGTGTGCGTTTGTGTGCGTTTGTGTGCGTTTGTGTGCGCTTGTGTGTGTGTTTGTGTGTGTTTGTGTGTGTTTGTGTGTGTGTTTGTGTGTGTGTTTGTGTGTGTGTGTTTGTGTGTGTTTGTGTGTTTGTGTGTGTGTTTGTGTGTGTGTGTTTAGTGTCTGTGTGTGTGTGTTTGTGTGTGTTTGTGTGTTTGTGTGTTTTTGTGTGTGTTTGTGTGCTTGTGTTGTGCGCTTGTGTGTGTTTGTGTGTGTGTTTGTGTGTGTGTGTTTGTGTGTGTGTGTTTGTGTGTGCGTGTTTGTGCGTGTGTGTGTTTGGTTGTGTTTGTGTGTGCGTTTGTGTGTGTTTGTTTCTGTGTTTGTGTGTTTGTGTGTTTGTGTGTTTGTGCGTTTGTGTGTTTGTGTGTTGGTGTGTCTGTACGTTTGTGTGTTTATGTGTGTGGTTGTGTCTTAGTGTGTTTGTGTCTTTGTGCGTTTGTGTGTTTGTGTGTTTGTGTGTTTGTGTGTTTGTGTGTGTTTGTGTGTGTGTTTTTTGTTTGTGCGCTTGTGGGCTTGCGTGTGTGTGTGGGTGTGTTTGTGTGTGTGTTTGTGTGTGTGTTTGCGTGTTTGTGTGTGTGTTTGTGTATGTGTTTGTGTGTGTGTGTTTGCGTTTGCGTTTGTTTGTGTGTGTGTGTTTGTGTGTGTTTGTTTGTGTGTGTGTGTGTTTGTGTGTGTTTGTGTGTGTGTTTGTGTTTGTGTTTGTTTGTGTGTGTTTTCGTGTGTGTGTGTGTGTTTGTGAGGCAGTTGGAGACGTCCAGCTGTGTACCTGCAACGGTTGCGCAAAGTCCTTTTGGCCCGTTGTTTCTCTTGCTGCGTGTGCTTCATATTGAACCTTGTAACGTTTTCGACACTAGAGGGAAGCCGAGTGCATCGCGAGCCGAAACTCATCATACTCGAGACTTATCAGTTGTACTCGAGACTCATCAGTTGTGCTCGACACTCATCAGTTGTAAAAGGATTAGCACCCTGCCTTGGGAGTTGAAGTGTGACTACCCCAGTTTGGGGAACGTCGGGTGTACCCATCGTGTAACCCCGGGCTGGTTCGCTGGAAAATTTGACCTCAACGTTCATATCATAGTCCAGCGGAATTTCCTGTTTAAGCAGGAACGAGGTTTCACTAAAGGGAAGACAGCCAAGGGCTATTTGGGCGCCGGGCGCTGCTTGCTGATCTTTTCACGCTTTGCCTTGTGTTGATTTGTGCTTGGCATGATCTTGCGCTGTCATGGAATTGAAGCTTGTCGGTCTCAGTTTTTCTCAAGGTTGATTTGTGCCATCACCTGGGTTCGCTGAGTCGTCATGTCTTGACGGGATGATCGTGACCGATCCAGAACTCGGCGCAGACGGGGTGGGAGTCTTCACCTCCTCGTAAAGCGCGCAGACGTGACGACACCTTGGTCTCGGATGGATTGGAACAACCTGGTCTCCTGGCAACACAGTCCGAGCTACAACGCACCCAATGCCTTTCCAATGACGCAGAGCAACTACCAGCCAAACCCCTCCTCATC